TAGCAGGCCAATGCTCAAACCACTGAGCTATCCCTCCCCCCTTTTGTCTCTGATGGTGCGCTAAGACTCCTTGGATCATTCTTGGAGAGGTCAATAGGGAATAATGACAAAGAGATGCCCTTTTCTAACCATGGGCCACCTGATCCTATGGTGTAAACATGCACACACACACATTGCTGTAAGAATCTGGCTATGGTGTCTCCAGGCTGCTCATCGTGGAAGTGACTAATAATATTGCTGAGCGCTGATAGCCTTCAAAGCCCTGCGCAGACATTAACCAAGTGGTAAGGATTGTATCCCCAGATGAGGAAACTAGGCACAGTGAGGTGAAATGACTTGGCCAAGGGCACAAAGTGAGACAGTGGCTGAGTTAGGTTTAGCCCCCTGGAGTCCCTGGTTCCTAACCCATGCTCCAACCCCTAGATCACAGTGCAGCTGTATCAATGGAATAAGCATGAGTCTTTCTAGTGGAAGTAACTACACAGCCTGACTGTAAGACAGTCCTGGCTACACTGGGAGCTATGTAGCCTGGGAACCCTCTTTTCTGAGAAGTGGGCAAATGAGATATACCTATCACCACCGGCCCTTCCCCATGCAAGGGAAAATCCTGTTTCTAAGGGGGCCTGAAGTGCAAGTGGCTTTGCCTGGTTTGTAAGCCAGCAGCCCTGCTCTGAGAACAGGATTTGTGAAATGTGGCTGCGGAGGCAGTGAGTCTCGGGTGTGATTCTCCATTCACACCATGTTCAATTCATCAGTGTAAGGAGGAGCAGAATCAGGTCCTTAGACTCCAGAGAGCCTGCCCCAACTGTGTCCCCATTCGTCCTAGCAGCGTCTGTCTCTGATGTGGGTGTCCAGTGGAGCCACTACGCACTGTGCGAGACTGCAGGACCCTGCTAGTGCTGTGAGTGAGGGAGTGAGTCACCCAGGCGGATGCAATCCCCTCTCTGTAAAAACAAAGTCACCCCAAAACTCAGCAGCAGCCAGAGCACACAGTTAACTCTTTAGATTCCAGGGCACAGAGATCCTTTAAATGTCCATCCCTGGCATGGGAATGCGTTTGCTAAGTCCTCACCCATGCGTGGCACTGCACAAAAAGGACAGGTCCCTGATGAGGACACTATGTGCAGGTAACTCAGAGTGGAGTTTTGATGGGGGCAGCCTATTCCGCCTATGCTCCACGTACTAGTAATCCCTCTATTCACTCTGTGCTAGGTGATCCCTGGTACCCAGACCCTATTGGTGCCCTGAAATCTAAAGTGGCATTCTGCTCTAAACATGCCTGTATACAAATGGCAAATGTGGAATCCCATGTTCATTGTATCTTAATTGCAGATCAAACTAGCTCCGTTTGGAAGTGAAAAGCTGTCGTTTTTTTTCTAGCAGCCAGCGCTGCAAACTCCCCTGGGATCGGAGAATTGCGCTGGGCTGGGCTCTTTCTGGCTTACCAGCAATAAGGTTCTGCAATTGGCTAGTTAATTAAGAATTGTGTGGGTGATGCAGGAGCTACCACTGAGCCAGCTCCCTCTACTCTAGCTGCACTGGCTCCTGTAGGCTTTACAGGAGTAAAAGACTGTGAAAACCAATTTGTCCCTGAAGTCAGCAGATCTGACTCTGACATGCATGGTGCTCAGATCTGGTGAGTAAGGAGGAGCCATTTTTATACAGTCGCATTTCTGATCGTAACCACAATTTAAAATTTGCACTAGCAGACAGAGCAAGCTGTCCACGTGTGCAAGGACTGGAGTAGCAGGGACTAGGTAGGTCAGGGCTGAGTGCATTGGCAGATCTGTGTGGGAGCTCAGGGCTGGACTAGCCAGGGGTGCTGCAACTCTGGATCAGAATGTAGTAGCAGGGCTCTGCACTGCATTTGGCTAGCCAGTGCTGTCCAATTGCTCGTATTCCTGAGGACAACATTATATCAGATTTACCTAAACATGGTTTAAAGCCTTTGGCTGGAGATTGATTGCTGGGTGTGATCTGAGTGGGCAGGAGTCCCTTTGTGCTGTCAGTGACTGAGCTGCCACAATGATCCCGACTCCCAGCCAAGTCACACGTCTGCATAACTCACTGAAAGCTCAGCTAGTAGTCAGGGTGCTGCAGGAATAAGATGCTGTTCCTTTAAGAGTCTTGGAAGGATGCCGTTCCATTTCCGATGATTTTCCTGGCCCAGAGCATGGTACAAATTACAAACACATGGTCCTGAGGAGTGTGGGAGGCGCAGTGCATGCTGGGGATTTAACCAATGAGCTGCCCAGACCCCCCGAACTTGCAGGGGCTTAGATACTGCTAAGCACTTTTTCTCTCCAAAGCCCTTGCCTTGGCTCTGAGTATCTGTGGGGTGTTTGGGCTCCCAGAGAAGGATGTCCTCTCACTAGCCCAGGCCTAGGCTGTCCTTTTGTAGGCAGTTTAATTCACACTTGAACAGGAGTGGCCACATGAGCTGCAGGAAGTCCGGCTCTTCAGCAAAACAACATGGGTCACTGTCTGCTGCCTCTGGCCTGGCTGTCATAGGGGTGCTTAGCCCTGCCCCCGACATGTCCAGAACCACATTTTCAACAATCAGAGTGGTAGCCGTGTTAGTCTGTATCAGCAAAAACAACGAGGAGTCCTTGTGGCACCATAGAGACTAACAAATTTATTTGGACATAAGCTTTTGTGGGCTAGAACCCACTTCATCAGATGCACGGAGTGGAAAATACAGTAGCAGGTATATATATACACAGGACATGAAAAGATGGGAGTTGCCTTACCAAGTAGGGGGTCAGTCTAACGAGACAATTCAATTAGGGTGACCAGATGTCCCAATTTTATAGGGACAGTCCTGATTTTTGGATCTTTTTCTTATATAGTCTCCTATTACCCCCCACACCCTGTCCCGATTTTTCACACTTGCTGCCTGGTCACCCTAAATTCAATTAACAGTAGAATACCAAGGGAGGAAAAAATCACTTTTATAGTGGTAATGAGGGTGGCCCATTTCAAACAGTTGACAAGAAGGTGTGAGTAACAGTAGGGGGAAATTAGTATGGTCAAATTAAGTTTTGTAATGACCCATCTACTCCCAGTCTTTATTCAGGCCTAATTTGATGGTGTCCGGTTTGCAAATTAATTCTAGGTCTGCAGTTTCACATTGGAGTCTGTTTTTGAAGTTTTTTTGTTGAAGAATTGCCACTTTTAAGTCTGTTATTGAGTGTCCAGGGAGATTGAAGCCCCTCCCTCTGTTTTTTGAACGCTGTAATTCCTGATGTCAGATTTGTGTCCATTTATTCTTTTGCGTAGAGACTGTCCGGTTTAGCCAATGTACATGGCAGAGGGGCATTGCTAGCATATGATGGCATATATCACATTGGTAGATGCGCAGGTCAATGAGCCCCTGATGGTGTGGCTGATGTGGTTAGGTCCTATGACGGTGTCCCTTGAATAGATATGTGGACAGAGTTGGCACAAAGGTTTGTTGCAGGGTTTGGTTCCTGGGTTAGTGTTTTTATTGTGTGGTGTGTAGTTGCTGGTGAGTATTTGCTTCAGGTTGGGGGCTGTCTGTAAGTGAGGACTGGCCTGTCTCCCAAGGTCTGTGAGAGTAAGGGATCATCCTTCCAGATAGATTGTAGATCTTTGATGATGCACTGGAGAGGTTTTAGTTGGGGGCTGTAGATGACGGCTAGTGACATTCTGTTACTTTCTTTGTTGGGCCTGTCCTGTAGTAGATGACTTTTGGGTCCCTTCTGGCTCTGTCAATCTGTTTCTTCACTTCACCAGGTGGGTATAGTAGTTTTAAGAAAGCTTGATAGAGATCCTGTAGGTCAGGGGTTCTCAAACTGGGAGTCGGGACCCCTCAGGGGGTCACAAGGTTATTACATGGGGGGTTGTGAGCTGTCAGTAGGGTGATCAGATGTCCCGATTTTATAGGGACAGTCCCGATTTTTGGGTCTTTTTCTTATATAGGGTCCTTTACCCCCCACTCCCGTCCCGATTTTTCACACTTGCTGTCTGGTCACCCTAGCTGTTAGCCTCCAACCCAAACCCTGCTTTGCATCCAACATTTATAATGGTGTTAAATATATAAAAAAGTGTTTTTAATTTATAAGGGGGGGTTTCACTCAGAGACTTCTTATGTGAAAGGGGTCACCAGTACAAAACTTTGAGAACTATTGCTGTAGGTGTCTCTGTCTCTTGTCTCTGTCTGAAGGATTGGAGCAAATGCGGTTGTATCTTAGAGCTTACTACTGTTACTCACACTTACTGTTACTCACACCTTCTTGTCAACTGTTTGAAATGGGCCACCCTCATTACCACTACAAAAGTGATTTTTCATCCCTTGGTATTCTACTGTTAATTGAATTGTCACGTTAGACTGACACCCCACTTGGTAAGGCAACTCCCATCTTTTC